TGTTATCTTGCACTAAGGAGAAGGGGATAGGGGTTTGGAGCTTCAAAGGAGAGAAAGGTAACTCACAGGAAGATCAAAAGATCACAAGTTTGACAAACAAATGTTTGCTGGGTTATGCCAAAGACAATGGGTCAGAGAGGAATTTTAACAAGCAGATTTTGCTAGGTTCCTCCCTGTCTACCATATCTAGCCCACAGTCATTGGAATTGGCTCCAGTGATAGTTCACTTCCTAGAACAGATCTCCTATCTAAATTCCTTTAGGTAGTTAAAGGGACAGCCGAGCTCTTCCTTTAAGGTCCTAATTGCCCTTAGCTTAAGAAAATTTACATGTCAAATACCTTAGCATTTAACAAGGTCTTTCATGACACCCATGCATTTGGAATAGAGGCCCCTTTCGCTGGAAATCACATAGATTTTACTCTGTAGCCAGAGTATTTTGATGCTATACTACAGTATGAGTTTCCAGTGTCTTTGAACCATGAGCATTTTTAAGACTATGATGAAAGTTGTAGAGCCTTATCATAATTTATCACAAAATTCATCAAGTTCCTACTGATTCATGAATTTTGTAATAGAATATTTTCAGTGGAAAACTTCCTGGTCCTTTGTTTTTCATTGTTTTTCTTTTCTGGCTTAAAACGACATAAATATATTTTCTCAGAGTTCAGGGCTGGTTCTTTCTGGAGACTTGGTTATTTCCTGTTCAATAACTTTGTTAATTATTCAGATGAAGAAAGAGAAATCTGATGTACTATGTTTGAATATGACAGATAATGGGAAAGATATTTACATTAGAAGGTATAATCAAAATATAAAAAGAGAGAGAAGAGTAGTTGTGATGGATAGTGTTTTAGTCAATAATAAGTTTTATGTAAGATAACATTTTAACATGACCACCAAAAGCAGCTAATATGATTTTAGGCATTAATAGAATAAAGCAGGTGACAGCATAGGCTGTATTGCATTGCATGCAGCATACTGGGAATACACACGGCATTCTAGGCACTGACTTTTAAGAAGAATATGGACAAATATATTCAGAGGCATTTGACAGCAGTGGTAAAGAAACATGAAATTGGTTCTGATAGGCAACCACTGATTGAAATTGAAAATTTTAATGGAGGAGTGACCCTTTACAAGTATCAGCTGGTTCCAAACACTTGAGACACTTTAAGATGAAAAAAAATCATTAGACTTATTCCACATGGCTATAAGTCATAAATGTAGGAACAAAGTTTGTAAGAACACATTTTAATTTAATAGCAGGAAAAATAGTAAATGCAGTGTAACAATGGAATGGGCTGCCTTAAGAGACAAAACGCCCCTGCCCTACCACTGAGTCTAGTAAAGGAGAGGCTCTGTAATTAATTGGCAACAATGCTGGAGAGGGGATTCAAGTATAAGACAGGAGATTGGAAACTTGATGACTATTGTACTTCCTTCCCATTCTCAGAATGGAATCAAGTATATAAGGTGGTTGCAAAGAAACTCCACACCCAATCTGTCCACAGGCAGTGAGAATCTGAAAGTCACTCTAATTTAGAATGTTGAGAAACTCATCCTCTCGAAGCCTATTAAGCTCCTTAGCTGCTCAAGATTTCTTTTACCCAAATAAATATATGGAAATGACCTCATTTAAACATATAAAAACATTGAGATATCTTCATTGAAAAAACAAACTTGGCATATGGAACACTGGAGAAGAAAAAAACAACAACTAAGTCTAGTTTTTTCCAAAAGGTGGGTTGCTAACAGTTTGTTAGGTTTGGAGACACGGAAGTACAGGAATGAATTCAATGGCACCCCAGCTGCAACACTTTTTGGCAGGTAGAGTTCTGATTACAAATTGCAAAAATGCTTCATGTTTCATGTTTATGACAGAATCATTTAAATATGTCATCCACCAATGGCAAGCAGATTTAATCAATTGTGGGGATTGCAGTTGTCTGTCATTTACTAACATGAGGACAGAGGTTGAACAAAACTGTTTTCTACCTGTCATCTACCTAATAAACAAATATGTCAAGACACCTACAGATTCTGTAAACACAGCAAATCTCTGGAGGTGGAGAAAGAAGGAGGATTAGTCAGGATGCCAATGGAAGAAGATAAGGAAGAATATAAGATAACTTTCCATTGATTTTCAGTTCTATGCTTGGTGACTTCACATGTATTATTAACACTTCCCTACAAATATTTCCCCAGAAAGAATCATCCTCACTTTTAAGGGCAAAGCAGCATACTTAAAGTAGTTAAATATCTTGCCCAATCTTCACAGTTAAGAAATGATTGAACATGGGTCTGTCTGATTCCAAGAATGACAATCTTTTCACTACAACAGCCCCCCACAATAAGTGCTGAGTTTCAGAATATTTAGATGGGACAATATATAGTAGACTTTATTGCCTTTCAACTATCTTCAGCATACCTTGTCCCTGCTTGCTTTTCTTCTTTTGTTACCCCACTCCTCAAATGCTATAGGCCAGACAGATTGAACACCTTGTGTGTCTCCCCCAAAATGCCAGGCTTTCAGTCTTTTTGCCTTTGAACATTCTGTTCGCTCTGATTTCCTCCTTCACTTGCTGCCCAAACCCTATGTTTCCTCCAAGATTAACACAAATTTAACTTTTCCAGAAAATCTTTCTTGTCCATCTTAGATGTAACTGCCTTCCCTGTGTGATTCTATAGTACTTGGTGGAGACACAAGGATATCACATCCTCTATCAGGCTGTATTGTTTATACTTATCTCTCTGCACACTAGTTTGCAACCTTTCCAAGGCAAGAACTACCACTTGTTCTCACATTTTACCTCTAGCATCTAGATAAGTGCCTAGAATATAAGTATGCACTTTAAAAGCTGAAAGAATGAATGAATGAATGAATGAACAAAGAGCAACAATATCAATAATAAAATGAATGAATGGGGTAGGCAGGTCTAAATTAGTATTGGGCAGACAGATTGTTGTATAAATCTAAGTAAAAGATCTCAGATGAACAATTTCACAATAAATCAGGGAATGTTTCATTTAACCAGGAGTCTCCATTTTCCCTTCATTGAAGAAGAGCCATATCCTCCAACTAGATTTGGATCTCTTCCAAGTTGTCCTACCTTAGTACCAAGTTTGGTGCACTTAGTAAGGAGAGGTCTACTTCCTTCCACAATCTCTAGACTCTGAGCAATTTAGAAGCAGAGATTCTAACAGCTACAGCCTTGGTCCACCTCTCCACTGAGTGCTACAGATGTAATTCTGTTTACACTTCAACAATGAGCAGATGTTAGTTCACTATCCCTAATGTATGTGTCCTCTGCTCTATGGCAGCATTTGGATTGCCTTGTCTTGCTTCCAACTGTTCTAGTTTCCTTTGCCTCTTGATCGAGAGACAAAAACAGAAAGGAACAAAGAAATAAGCTACATATATCATTTTTCAATTTTCTTGTGTGAAACCCTGTGACTGCCTCATTTCAATCAGAAGGAAATTAGTTCTTTGTCCTTTGAAGTGAAGCTGAGTCACTCATAATTTGAAAACAATGCAACAGTAGAGAGACAAAGTAGTGACTAGAAAGGAATGCATGTAAGATGATCTGACTTCTTTCTAGTCCTAGCTCTACCACTAGCCAACTATGTGACCTTGGACAAGCCACTTAACCTCTTCAGGCTTTGGTTTCTCCATCTGTAAAATTAGAAGTTTGGACCATAAGTTCCCTAAAGTCCCTTTGTGCTCTAAAATATGTCTTGAACACAAAAGCATGAATACAAAGCAGTTGTACCATAGCATAGAACCCCACGTTTTAAAGAGTTACAGACTTAGTCTATGAACAAACATAAATAAAATGCCCACTGTTCTATTCCTCTGTTGTTTGGTTGCATACATGTTTGAAACATGTGATTCAAATTCAAATACAATATTCTGAGCCTGCCACAAGGACATTGCTAAGGCACGCAACCTTGCTACTCCGGTCTACATGCCCCAAACAGGCTTTGGAAGACCCTGATTTCTTCTGTAGATGCCATTGTATTGATTTTATGGGACAGGACACATTGATAATTCGGGATGGCCCTAACTCGTCTGACTACATTTGGGTTTTGTTGGGGCTTTTTTCATTTGTTTTAGGTTTGTTGTCGTTGTTGTTAACATTAGAAAATTGCATTCTGGAGAGAGGGTGGAGAACTGGAATAAGGGTTTTCATAAGATGCTAAATTCATAACCAAAATGAAGTAATGGATGAAAAGATTGCAGAAGGTAATGAGTCATGAATGAGAGAGTTATCGTTACCAGTAGAAAGCAGGGGGCCAGAAAGTAGGTAGACAGAGAAATAAAAACCTGGAAAACACATCTATTCCAATCTTAAGAAAAGAAAACGGAAAGTCACATCTGGGCAGGAAAAACAAAAAACTAAAGTGGCCAAATTCCAGAGAGTAAGGTGACTGGTTACACTCCGGGTCGGTGGTTTAGACCTAAGAGATCTTCCACAATCAAAAGCACAGGACAAGGTGGAGAGGACAGATGTGAATTTTCAGTTGTCAAAGGGCTCTTCACTCTGATCCAGGCAAAAACCTGCTGCCAGAGAATCACTCCAGAGAACATACAGGCAAATAGATGAATGAGGCCATTTCACTAGTCTGCCAGAGTTCAAAGTGACTGCCAGATCAAGGTTCAGACTGACTGTCCATGTGGTTCACAGAACGCTGTGGCACTATGGTGTCAGAAGTCAGTCTCACAATACAGGGAACCTCAGAAAAAAAGGGATAACATTACCACACTGCTATCCAACCTTCAGGAGGTCCTCCCACCTGTGGGTTAATTAAAGACAAAAAGCTTCAGGCTTTTCCGCCCTCCCACCGCGCATGCGCACTCGGCCAACCGGCGTGGCGCGGCGTGGCGCGGCGTGGCGCGGCGTGGCGCGGCGTGGCGCGGCGTGGCGCGGCGTGGCGCGGCGTGGCGCGGCGTGGCGCGGCGTGGCGCGGCGTGGCGCTGGGGAGGGATGTGTGCAGCGGAGGGATGTGTGCAGCGGAGTGTAGCAGCGTGGACGGAGTGCGGCAGAGTGCAGCGCAGTGCGGGGATGAACAGCGGAGAGCATGAAGACACCAACACGGCTGCTAGAATCGGTAATGAACCTACCCGGTGTGGGCTGGTTGTGCTATACCATCAAAATCAGAAAAGTAGATAATATTGGTCTCAAAGGCCAGATACCCCTCAAAGCCTCACCTATTTTTCATGGGGAAATTTACCCTGGTCATAGCTTACTATGGTGAGGGAACCGGATGAAAATCAATGACCAGGCAAGACAGGGTTGGTTTGAAAGCACTGAACCTAATGGCCCTGTCAAAGGATGGCAACTGTTTGGCCAACTTGCACCCATTTCTCCTCTCAGGTTTATGGCACATGTTACATCTAATGCCAACACTCTGGTCCCGTGAGCCTGGGAATCCTTCTGATGCAAAGTTCTTGACAGCCACCACTAATTGATTGATAGATGAACATTTATTTGCACATGAGATTTGTATATTTTCTCCATCTAAAATGTAATTCAGGGGCCTCCCTGGTGGCCTAGGAGTTCAGTCTCAGCGCTGTCACCACAGTGGCCTAATTTCAATCCCCAGCCAGGGAGCTACCCACATGGCATAGCAGACCTCTCCTGACTCTGCCACTATTCCTTTCAGCAGTGTATTTCAGCAGATCCCCACCTGTTCTGCTCTCCACTCTTGTCTCTGGTGAATCCTCTCACCCCTTGCACCTCTGGCCTATACCCCAGTTCTATGCAAAACAAAACAAAACAAAAACTTCATTAAAAAAAAAATAAAATGTAATACATTGTTAGAGCAACTATACTTTTAAACTTCATCAACCTCAAAAAGCTTTTTCTGTGTCACTCTGATGTCCCTGATGTCACTCTATATGCTACAGATGTTAACTGGGCCCTTGGAATTAAGGACAAAAATCATCTCATTTTTATATGTCTGCAACATAGATACAGTGACTGACAAAGCCTACCCAAACAAGCTTCTGCCTTGCATCTTGTGGTTAACACCTTATGACCCATAACAATGACCTTAAGGTAACGTAACAGGCTGTAGCACCATGGATGTGCTGACTCAGTCACAGTAAATAAGGTCTTAGGTTTTAATTCTGTGGGACGGTTCCATGCATGTACCATTCATAACATTTTTTATTTGTAAAGTGCTCCAATTTCCCAGGGAAATCATTCTAGAAATAGTTATCACCTTTTTAGTAATTCTTCAGGAAAAAAATATTTCTGGAGCCTGGTTGTAATGGTGCCTTCCCAACTGAATATAAAAGGCCGAAGGGTCACCTAGTTTTAAAATATTTCCTCCTGTCAAATAAAACCCTTCCTTTTGAAAAGATTTGTTTCTGGTCTCCTGGACTGATTTACAAGCGATGTAAACACACTGACATACACTATACCCTTTCCCATTTTAGGATTTTCACAGAAATGAGAACAACTTATTAAAAAGAACAGTGTTAGAGCCATTTTGCAGGCTTCTGCTGAAGAAATCCCATTATTGATAAGGAAGCCTTATGTTTTCTATGTTTAAGGCAAGTAAGTATCTGTGTTTCCTACCTTTAATTTATATGGAGCTTGATAATATTTGTCAGTTCAGAACTAAACCAAAAGTAGAAAGAAACTGGAAATATATAATTTTGTTAAATATAGGAAAATAAGATTATGAATTTTAGTATTTGAAAGCAAGTTTTAAGTGGAAGTGATTATATTAAGGAATATTTCCATCTATGAATGTAAACAGTTTTACTTTATTGCAAAAACAAATTTCTACTTCAAAGAATCATAATTACAGTTTCATTTCATTGTTTTGCTTTTAAACAAAACCCAATCACTTTACAAATAGATCCTGAGTGCTACAGGACTCCCCAAAAGTTAGTGGTCCTTATGGATTTTACTCAATAATATCGTATGATTCAAATATAGCGAGTATTAACTGAATCCCATTCAATTATATAAGAACTTTACCGAGAATTCAGATGCTTGTTTTAAATTTCTAGAAAGATAGTAATATTAATTTAAAAAATAATATCATCTGGTAATCAATATATCTATTGCTCAGATATATTTTTAAGAATATATGTGGAAACATCCAGTAATTGTCTTTCACTTTCTGACTTATTTCACTCAGCGTAATCACCTCAAATTCCATCCATACTGTTGTAAAGGTTGGTACATTTCTCCCATTATTAATACTAGTTATATGTTATCATCCCTTTTATACAAACAAGGAAACTGAGACTCATTCAAGAAAAATATTACCCCTAGAAATAGTTTTACAGCTTTACTTCTGGCTCAGCAACCTGTTATTTTTTTTTAAGATTGATTTATTTATACAAGAACGGGGGTACAGGCCAGAGGTACAGGAGGGTGAGTGGATTCACCAGAGACAGAGCAGGGAGCAGAACAGGCAGATGGACAGACCAAAAACACTGCTGAGAGGAGCAGCGGGCGAGACAGGAGAAGTCTACCATGTGGGTATCTCCCTGTCCAGCTGGGAATCAAACCCACATTGCAGAGGTTGTGGACAGCTTCACAGCACTGCACTCAACCTGCTGTGCCACCAGGGAGGCCTCAGCAACCTGTTATTAATCTTGAAGTTACAGTAGACAGTAAATAGTAACTTTATTTTTGTTCCCAAACAATACTGCTTCCTCTCAGTCTAGAGTAACTTCAAGCCATGTGGATGATTCTGAAAAAAGGTCTAAAGACCCAAATGATTCTGTATTTTCCATTACCTGTGTTTTGTTGTTGGGACATGGGGAAGACTTTTCAATTAGTTCATAACCAAATAAATGTTTCTACATACTTAATAACATAAAGGAAGTGAATAATTTAGGGTAAAGGGAGAGTACAGGAAGAGCAGAAGAAATAAAAAGGAAGATAAAATAAAAGAAATTTTAAAAGGAAATGAAAGAGCAAAAGGTGAACAAAAAATGTTTCAATCCCTGTCTAGCGTATATTTTCTTGTTCTTTTAAGAAATAGGCAACATGGTCCACTTTCTCATCTATAAGCTGAAATTAATACATTTTTTACCCATCAAAAAAAGAAAGCAATAGACGACATGACTTCATGAACGCACCCATAACAGTATCTTTCACAAGAGGGCACTGGTACACAAGATGACAGGATGGATAAGAGAAAAGTGACCTCACAGCAACAGAAAGAAGGTATTTCTTCACCGTTTGGAACGCATTGTTGAGACATTCTCTTTATGCAGTTCACGTCTTCTGCTACCCAGTGTATGCTCTGGGGCACTTGAAGAGTAAAAAGCCTTATCTGTCTTTATATCAAGATGAAGATCAAGCCTTTTTAGTCCAAAATAGAAAATGAAAGAAAAAACATAAATATTGCATTGCCAAGGAAAGTTAGGGGACATAAACTATTATATGAAATTACTGATATTTTTGAACAATTTTATAAAATGCTTTCCTCTAGTCCGACTTTTTATGTTAGTCAATGGTTTTACTGTTACATAACCAAACCCACAAATATTATCCTCATGGCTAGATCTATTTGAGATCATTTCAGAGCATTTTAACAAGACAATTCAACAGAGCTATAAAAAAAAGAAAGTGGTTGTTTTCCTAACTCTGTTCATTCCTCAGACTTGAGAGGCCATCAATCAGGTCTGAGTGAGAGTCTAAGTTTTAAGTCAACTACAATGGGAAATGAACACTGCACCTAAACTGGAAAGCCCTCAAAAATACAATTCCCTCTGTGAAACTGCAAATGATCCTCATAGAAAGGAGGGAAGGGAATGATGCTTTTATAAGCCAATGCCATCATACAGGTAGCTTTCTGATGAACTATTTAGGACATTTTTTAATGGAATGATAGAAGTCATTTTAGAATATTTATATATTTGAAGCTTAAATAACATTCTATTAAATATAGTTGTCCCTCATGAGTACTCTCTAATTGCAGCGTGGTGAGTACTAGCTAGTACTCATTCTATTTAGTAATGTGCATCCAGAGATTCACTAAGCAAAGCAACGGGTGCTGTTTAATTCATGTGAATCAGAAACATAAAGAACAGTTACATAGCATTTAAGACTTTGCAGAATGCTTTCATATGCGTTATTTAATGATCCACTTGAGAAGCCTTAAGGAAGAATGATTAATTTCTCCATTGACTTGTAGAAGAGAAAATGACAAGTAAAAGAAAATTATTGACCTGAGTCACACTGCTAATAGGTGGTAGCTCAGGAACTGGAAGCCATGGCTTCTTGCTCTAAAGCTCATGCTTGTTACTCTTCACCACCTCCTTTTAGAATGAACTTAATGCCACATAACTGAGAAATGTGAGCCCACTTTTGTGTTTCACAGAAATTACATATTAAAATGTTCAATTATTAGGGCCTCCCCTGTTGGCACAGCGGTTGAGCGCTGGGCTGCGAGGCTGCCCGCAGCCTCTGCAGCGCCGGTTCATTCCCCGGCCGCTGGCGAGGGTCCCACAAAAAAAAAAAAAAAAGTTCAATTATTAGAATTCTGTTCATTCTAAGACATAACAGGCTATGGCTTCTATGTTGACAACAAAATCAAGAATTCTGTTTGATCATTTCTATTTTTATGAAAAGCGTAATTTTCTGAATAATTTAGTTTTTAACTATATAGAAGACTTCACCATTCTTAACATAGATTGGAAAAGCTTTTTTAAAAAAAAACAACAGACTCTTACAACTTAAATAAGAGTTCGATCCCCGGCCAGGGAGCTACCCACATGGCCCAGCAGACCTCTCCTGTCTCACCCGCTGCTCCCCTCAGCAGTGTATTTCAATCAGTCCACCTGTTCAGCTCCCCGCTCTGTCTCTGGTGAATCCTCCCAACCCCCATACCTCTGGCCTGTACCCCAGTTCTTGTATGCATAAACCTTTAAAAAAAACTTTTTTCCATTTGCGGAAGTCTATATTATTACTGTATAAAATTTTGAACAGATGGAATTTAAGTGTTTTATTTTAATAAATTTTAAGTCATGCCTAAGTAATTATATGCACATTTTAGTTTTACAAAATTGTGATTATGTTTCATTATATTGTTTTGTAACTTAATTTTTGTTAACAATATATCATGACCATAATCCATATTTGTATCCTTTGAAAATATGACTTTTTATGCTTTTAAGTTATTCATCAAATAATGTGACCTAATTTATTTGACCAAATCCTACTTGTTGGAAGGTGGACTTTTCCAGTTCTTCATGTTCTAAATTATAAAACTCTACTGAGAAAAGGGAGCTTTACTTGAAGCAGTTGGGACTGATGAATCCCCTCAAAGAGAGCAATATTAACTACTTTTCTTTATGTATCTAATAGTGAAATTGCTGGGTCGGGCAGATACATTTGTAATCTTTTGCGAAAGCTCCACACTGTTTTCCATAGTGGTTGCACCATTCTATATTCCCACCCACAGTGTAATTGGATTCCTTTTTCTCCATATCATCGCCAGCATTTACTGTAAAACTTAAGCTTTTTATTTTGAGATAATTGTAGACTCATATCTAGTTACAAGCAGTAGCACGGGAAGATCCAATGTGCCCTTTAACCAGCTTCTCCCAATGGTAGCACCTTACAAAACTGTAGCACAATACCATGACTAGGATATTGACATGGTACAGTCAGACTCTGGAACAATTCCATTACCACAAGGTTTCCCCATGATGCCCTCTTATAACCACACTTCTTCCCTCTCTTCCAACTTCTTCCCTAAAATACTGGCATACACAACAGTGTTCTCCATTCCACAATTTTGTCCTTTCAAAAATATTATGTAAATAGAACCATGTGGTATATAACCTTTTGGCATTGACATTTTCATTCAGCATAATTTTCTGGAGATTAATGCAGGCTGGCATGTATCTAAAATTCATTCATTTTTATTGCCGAATGGTATTCCATGATATGGACATAGCAGTTTAACCATTGCCCATTGACAGATTTTTGTTTCCAGGTTTTGACTTTCTACATAAAGCTAATGTAACCATTCATGTTTATTATTTTGTATGAAAATAAGTTTTCACTTCTCTGGGATAAATGCCAGGAGTGCAATTACTAGATTATGTTGTAGTTGCATTTTTTTTAAAAAAAGAAACTGCTAAACTATTTCCAAGAGAGCTAAACCACTTTACATTAGCAATGTATATGTGGTTCAGTTTCTTTGTGTTCTTGCCAGCATTTGGTGATGTCTCTTTTCTTTTAATACATTCTGGTATTGTACAGTGATGCCTCATTGTGGTTTTATTGCATGTCCCTAGTGGCTAGTGATTTTGAGCATTTTTTCATATGTTTAGTTTCCATATGCATAGTCTCTTTGGTGAAATGTCTCTGCATGTCTTTCCTATTGGCTTTTATTTTTTTACTATTGAGATTTTAGGGTTTTTTACATACTGTACACACTAGTCATTTGCACATAGTGGTTTGCAAATATGTCTTCATAGTTTATTGCTTTCCTTTTTTATACTCTTAACAGGGTCTTTTGCAGAACAAAAGCTTTAAATTTTAACAGTTTTCCTTTTATGGACTGTGGTTGTGGTATCAAATCTAGGAACTTTATTCTTAAATACCAAAGATTTTCTTCATTTTTTTCCCTAAAAGCTTTAAAGTTTACATTTTACGTTTAAGTACATGATCCATTTTGAGTTAATATTTTAAATATGGTATTAGACTAGGTCGAAGTTCATTTATTTGCCTAGGGATGCCCAATTGTTCCAGCATCATTCATTGAAAAGGATATTTTTTCTCCGTTTAATTTGTTTCACATCTTTGCCAAACTTCAGTTGGGCATATTGTGTGGGTGTATTTCTGGGTTTTCTGTTCTGTTCAATTGATCTATGTGTTTATCCCTCCATCACTATAAGTTTTAATTATGGTGACTATATGATATGTTTTGAAACTTGGTAGACTGATCCTTTTAACTTTGTCTTTAAAAAATTGTTTTAGTTGTTCTATCACCTTTTCTTTTCCATGTAAATTTTAGAATAATCTTGTCTATATATATTTAAAAGTTTTTTGGGGATCTTGTGAGAATTCACTTAAAACTGAATATTAATTTGTTAAGAATTGACACCTTTATTATATTGAGTCTTTCAATCCATGAAAAAGTATGTCTGTTTATTCAAATAATTTTTGATTTCCTTAAGAATTTTGTTTCAACATACAAACCCTCCTTATATTTTGTTAACTCTCCCCTTAGGTATTTCATTTTTTATTTTAGCAATTGTAAATGTTAGATTTTAAATTTGGGTTTCCATGTGTTTACTGCCAGTATATAGAAATACAATTAATTTTCATATATTTACCTTATATCCTGAAACTTTAATAAATTTATTCTAGAAGAAGCTTTGCTGATTCCCTGAAATTTGCAACATAAACAGGCATGTCATCTGCAATTAGGGAAGTTTTATTTCTTCCTTTCTGGTCTGTATGGCACTTTATTACATTGCCTTGCCTTATTATACTGGCTAGAATTTCCAAAATATGTTGCATGTATGGTGAGGTGAACATGCGAGCTTTGTTCTGGAGCTTAGGGTAAATGGGTAAATAGCATTCATTCTTCCCCCATTAAGTTTAATGTTAGTTGTAGGCTCTTTATAGCTCTTCTTCATCATATGGAGGAAGTGTTCCTGTATTTCTGTTTTTCTAAATTTTTATCATGAATAGGTGCTGAATTTTACAAAATGCTTTTTTTTTTTGATCTATTGAGATGATCCCTGGTTTTTATCCTTTGTTCTGTTAAAATGGTATATTATGTTGATTGATTTTTGTGTATTGAACACACTTGCAATTCTAGGATACAATCCATTTGGTCATGGTATATATTCGTTTTATATATTGCTGAATTTTGTTATCAGTATTTTTTGAGGATGTTTGCATTTATGTTCATATGGGTATAGATCTTTCCTTTCTTGTGATGTCTTTGTCAAGATTTGGTATCAGAGAAATATTAATACTAGTTTTGTAGCAACCTTCCCTGAGTAGGAAAGTGTTCTGTCCTCAGCTTTCCTAACAAAGTGCAGGATTGGTCTTAAATCTTTAAATATTACATAGAATTTTCCACTGGAGCCATCTAGAACTGGAATTTTCTTTTGAGAAGTGCTTTTTTAATCATTAATTTAATATCTTTAATGATCATAGGATAACTTTAATTATTTTATGTTGGTTGAGATTTTGCAATTTATATTTTTTAAGAAATGTGGTGCCTCCCCGGTGGCGCAGCGGTTGAGCACTGGGTTGTGAAGCTGCCCGCAGCCTCTGCAGCACTGGTTCGATCCCCGATCCCGGGCTGCTCCCCGGCAACTGGAGGAGGGTCCCACATGGTGCGCAGACCTCTCCTGTCTCCCGCTGCTCCCCTCAGCAGTGTACTTCAGTCTGCTTGCTCTCTTCCCCACTCTGGCTCTGGTGAATTCTTTCACCCTCCCGTGCTTCTGACTACCCAGTGCTTGTATAAATAAATAAAAATAAATCTTTAAAAAAAAAAAGAAATGTGTCTGTTTTCCAATTTGTCAAATTTAAGAGCTCAGAGTTTTTCATAGCATTCTCTTAGTATCTTCAAAATAATTACAGGATCTTTAGTGATAGCTCCTACTTCATTTCTGATGTTGATTATGTATTTTCTCTTTTTGTTACTGTCAGTCTTATTAGAGATTACTAAACTGTCCTCACTTTTTTAAAGAACCAACTTTTCATTTTATTAATTTTTCTCTGTATTTTCTACTTTCAATTTAATCAGTCTCTGCTGTTATCTTTACTATTTCTTTTGGTTGCTTTATGTTTATTTTATTCTTTTCTTACTAGTTTCTTAAGGTAAGAACCTAGATTATTAATTACAAATCTTTCTATTTGCATTCAGCTCTCTCTATTTTTTTTATCAGTAAGGGGTAACTATAGGTTTCCCTTCACTTTATTTTTTTTAATTTATTTATTTATTCATACAAGAACCAGGGTACAGGCCAGATGTGCAGGAGGGTGAGAGGACTCACCAGAGACAGAGCGGGGAACAGAACAGGCAGACTGACAAAATACACTGCTGAGGGGAGCAGCGGGTGAGACAGGAGAGGTCTGCTGTGCCACGTGTGACACTCACTGGTCGGCCAGGATCGAACCAGCACTGCACAGGCTGCAGACAGCTTCACAGCACTGCGCTCAACAGCCTGCACCACCAGGGGAGGCCCAACACTTTTTTTTTTTTTAATTGAAGTAATGTTAGCTTACATGAGAGCAATGTCAGGAGCCAGCACAATGAAGTAAAGTGGTGGACCATTTAGCTCTGTATCTTTCTTTTAATTCCATTTGAGACTTCCTCTCTCATCCATGAATCATCAGTATTTGTGCTGTTTAATTTTTGAGTGTTTAATAGTAGTTCTTTGCCTTTCTGTTACTAATTCTACTTTAAGTTTTTTATAGTCAAGAGAATGAATGTACTCTGCGTAATTTCAATTCTTGAGCTTTGTTTTGTGACTCAAAAATGTAGTGCATCTTGGTAACTATTTCAAAAGTACTTGAAAAGAATGCATGTTTGCCTGTTTTGGGGTGGATTGCTCTATGTATGTCAGATCTTTTTGTTTGATGGATTTTTTTCATACTTTCTATACTCTTGCTGATACTCTTGTTTACTAGTTCTATTTCCTGTTGAGAATTGGGTTTTGAATTTCCCAACTAAAAGTTGTGAATTTGTCTATGTCTCCTTTTAGCTTTATAAGCTATTATGTCGTGTATCTTGGACTCTGTTTAGTTCATACACATTTATCATCATTATATCTTCTTGGCATACTGGTCTTTTTATTATGATGTAATACTCATTGTTTTGTATATAGTTTCCATAGCTTTTCATTGTTGGAGTAGGTAAAACTGTGTTCCATTATACTTGAAACAGAAGTCTCAGAACTTACTTTTTTAAATAAATAAGTTGATTTCAACTGTTTATTTTCAAGGTAGCTGATGAAGAAAATCTACTACTAAAAAAAGGAATGTTATAGGAATATGCCCAAAGTTGCCGAAAAGAGTTTGCTCAAGGTTGTCATGCACATTATTTTATATTTCAACAAAAATGAAAAATAATGTATCCATCACTATAGGGTTGCTTAGTGTATGGCACATTCATGTTTGATAGCTATCCAATATGCATAAATACAGGTAAATTCACAGGTAAAATGCTGAAATAATTCCATGATAGCCTGTGGGTAATTTCTGCCTTAGCTCCCAAGTGCACTCCTCCTGCACTTGACTATTTTGGTCTTTTCCTGGATATCTTGAATCTCCAAACAATCTAACAACTAAAGGCTCAACACTTGCATAGCAGGTGCATTCAGGGCCATGTTTTACAATTATGACTGGTGCCCATTCTGATTAGGTGGGGCTTGTGTTGTACTAGAAATTAAATATTATGTAAATCATTTATTGGTTTATCTATACTACAAAATACCATACAGCTATTAAAAATGAATGACGGGAACTCCAGGTAAGCATGGCATATTGAACAAATACATTTATCGCCACTCACTCCTGAAACCTCACAAAATGACAACAAAGAATTTTAAAAGTCAAGAAACCCTAAAGGAAAAAGAGAACATGAGAGGAGATGACAGCAAAAGAGAAATGTCAACACAAGTTTTGTAAGCTGGAAAGCAGAAGGACAGGTGGTAACTGACTTAGCAAAGTAGATAATACTGAAACCTAAGCTTGAAACTGCAGAGAAGCCAAAAAAAAAAAAAAAAAAAAAAAAGCAATCCATGCTGCAGAACTTAAGATACTGTTAGAATTTTAAGGCACTAAAAACCTCTTGAGGCAGGGTGTGGGTAGATCTGAAAAGAAAGATAGACTGGCAGTTGATATAAGGAGTACAGAGCCCCTCCATCTGAATCCACTAATGCACTCCATGGAGTAATTTAGAATGTAGTCTTTGCCAAAGCATAGAAAAGACTAATTTTTTCATTGCTGGAAATATTTATATGGTTACGTACTAGGATGAGTTCCCACACTGAAAAGAAGGATGTAACGTGTACATATTAATGGTATAATCTTTAGTCTCAAACTCACTGTTTTTGCATGTCCCTTAATACCAGCATCTATGATCTTAACACCTCATAGGAAATCAGAATATTCTTCCTTGTTGAAACTAAATTGTCTAATAAAAAATACTGACATTTGGAGTATGAAAAAGCTAAATTGCAGCCCTCTTGACTTAAAGAAAAATCCACAAAACAGTACATATTTATATATGGAAAGAACTTATAATCACTTTGTTAGTATTTTGCTATTTATATGAGTTAATCAAGAATCAGAAATCACAGGAGAGGTGATAAAAACAATAGAACAAAAAGTGAGCTTGTAGGGAAAAGAGACAATGTAGGCAACAAAAGAAAACTTAAACTTATCTTTTAAGTCTTTCAGAGAGATGGAAATCTACAGTATGAGAAAGAAAGCTAACCTTTCTCTATCCCTTCTAGGTCCACAGACTGGAAAATAATTAAATTGACACCAGAGATTAGAAAGAGAAAAGATAAACATTAATAATGTGCATCTACCTTCTGGTAATTCCAATGAGCTTACATAGTCTCTATAAAGGTGGCAATATATTCAAGGGGGAAAAACAGAACAAAGGACTCTTCAATTTAAAGAAAAAGGAATTTTTCAGATTCATTACATGTGTATCAAAAACAAACCTTGCAAGCCCTAGCTTGGGGTGATAAGGCTGTAAGGTTGCCTCCAACTTCCAGACCATCAGGTAATTCCTGTTTGAGGGGATTTATGGTGGGTGGGGGGAGTCATTCTTGGATCTTCTCTCTATTAATCAGCATGCATGTCAGGCAAATCCTGTAGCAGCCTGCCTTTGGTCCCATGAACAGAATTCATTAACAATTGGCTATTTTAAGAGAATATTAATAGAAAAAAATGTTTTGGAAATTAAAAATAAGTCTTAAAAAATAAATGCTGAAATATAAATTTGAGGAATACTCTTAGAATGTAGAATAAAAAGGAAATAGGAAGAAGAAATAAATTGAGGATCAAGGATGTCCAACTTCTGAATAACATTTACACAGAGAACAGAGAAATGGAGAAATGGATATTTATCTAAGAAATAATGCAAGAAAATTTTCTAAAACAGATGGACATGAGTTTCCTGACAGCAAGGCCCACCAAGTGCCCAGAATAAATATAATAAAAATAGATCATACAGATAAAAATAGACCTGAAATTTCATAGTGAAATTTCAGAGCACCATGGAATCGCAGAGGCAATGTTGACACAACAATAGCACTAGAAGCTAGAAAGCAATGAATAAGTGCTTTCAAAAGTCTGAGTGAAGATTATTGGCAACTGAAAATTCTATACCTAGTCAAACTTAATGGTATAATTATTAAATAAAGTGATTTTCAGATGAAAGTTCTCAATGAACATTTTCTCTTTCAAATAATCAAACAGAAAGTTCTTGGAGGTTGTGTTCAATAAAAATAAAGCCATAAACAAAAATAGAGGTGTCTAGAAAATAGTATTTAGAAGGGTTTTCAGGCTTTTCCAAAAGGTATGGCACTTTTAAAAGTCTCCCTTCCACTGTTGGATCAATCGGGTCAACACTATTTTAAAGAGAACACCTAGAAATTGGACTGTAGAATTGCAGCTAACAGAAAGGAAGGGAGAGGGGAAAAAAAGGGGGGAGAGGACACAATGGACTGCTGGTGCCTTTGTGGCCTGGGTGTGATACGGTAATGTACATCTGAGCAGGTGTGAGACTATACCTCCAAACCATATACAATGTTGTAAATCAGTGTTACCTCAATAAAAAAATACATTAATTTTTAAAATGAAAGGTTGAATAGGGTTGCCTTTATTAAAGAGTAAAGCCAAAAAGTTTTTAAAGGAAAGCTTTCCCCAAAATGACAAGAAGACACCTAAGGACATTATAAAAATAAGAATTGTATTTTGGCTACCCGCATAGAGAATATCTCATCCAAGATAGTCTTGAAATTTATTCTGGTGAATGGATGGCAGAATGACAACCAGGTAGTATAACCTCACTTAGAAGTCACAGGTAAATGCTGACTTGCAGAAAAAAGAGGTATCAGGTAAAGTTGGTGTAAACATTCTGCTACTTTTTTCCCTACCTGCACCCAGATACCTTATACCAGCATGCTTCCCTTGCCTACTCAAATCTTACCATTACTCGGCCTCCCCTGATGGCGCAGGCAGTTGAGCGCAGCGCTGTGAAGCTGTCTGCAGCCTTTCAGCGCCGATTCCATCCCAGCCAGCCGGCGAGGGTCCCACATGGCGAGGCAGACCTCTCCTGTTGTGCCCGCTGCTCCCCTCAGCAGTGTATTTCATCAGTCTGCCTGTTTTGTTGCCCGCTCTGTCTCTGGTGAATCCTCTCACCCTCCCGCGCATCTGGCCTGTACCCTGCTTCTTGTATAAATAAATAAATAAATCTTTAAAAAAAAAAAAA